ATTATTTAGGATATGTGTTTAAAGGTGAATCGATCTCATTATTGTGATCTCATCACGATCCGATTCCCATTGCATAAATCCAAGGACATCACAATATATGTATGCATTTATGCAATAGTTATAAAGTGATATACGCCAAAATATAATAAGCAAAAAGATTATGTATCAAGTCACACGTGCCATCACTCATGTGATTGGCTTGCTGGGCACCTATGATTAGCACTTTGCACATGTTCAAAGATCTTTCTAAAAGACAATAGTTGTCAAATCCTCACCAATGATAATCAGTACTACTAAGAGTAGATTATCCGCTTCATTTCCCAATAAAATGCCAAACAAAAGCAAAAGTGATGCGAACCTACTTGGAAGTGACAACTAAGTGAAAGAAGAGTCGATAGGCAAATTTTGTAAAGGGATGACTCAAAAAACTTCAAAAGTTTATGAGGTGATGCTCGTTATAACTCCAACAAACATCCACCCAATTCAAACAGCATGAGGCATTTGAGATACTAATGCATAGTAAGGATGGTCTTTTCCTTCATCTAAAGGATCAGCAAGAATCAACAGGGATCAACACAACTCAACCAACCCTACACTAAAGTCAGAGTCATTGGCGAGTTGAAGCAACATGGTGGATCAAAAGTTTGATTACTCAACAACAGTAGTAGAGAGCAATTGAGAATCAAGAGGCACATTGTAGTTAGAGCAAAAGATTGAAGACTTAATAAAGGTGAGGAGTTGACACTAGCAAAGGCTTCAACAAGGACGTCGAAGGAATAAGTGGGGGAGAATATCATGGACAAAACTGTAAACAGGGTGTTTAATGTAATGCTCTTGTATGTCTATATCTTTTGGTTTGTTTATGCTTTGTACAACATATAAAGGGATGGTCGAAGGCTTAACAACCGCAATTTAGTTGGGTTTAGTGGCCATTTTAGGCTTGTAAATAAAGGTTGTGTCATGTGGACACTTGTGAAAGATTTCGGTCTGTAGTGGACCATTTTAGATTATTTGTTATGCGACCGTTTAGAGTTTATGAAGTCTATTTGAATTTGTATTGGTTATGAAATGTTTCGTGAAATGATTACTTATGGATCTCGAGTGAGGTACTTTCTCTAACCCATTTTCTCTTTTGTAGGTCCAAGGGATCATAGGAGGTTTTAGGGAGGCTGACCTTTGCGAACGGGCACGAAAGGGTGACGTACAACTTAGGTAAAACCAGCTAAGTCTATGACATAATGGACCATAGGAGGTTTCGGGGAGGCTGACTTTTGCGGACGGACACGCAAGGTTATCGCACGACTTAGGTAGAACTAGCTAAGTCCGTGATAGTAGATCACAATGACCGAACCACTATAAAATTGGTGTATCTTTTCTTCTTTGCTATTTACTTACTTTGCAACTACTTTATATCTTTATCACTCTCCTATGAATATCTTTAAATTTAAATGTCTTTCTGATACGATTTCATCATATGAATTTTTACGATCGATGTAGTTCTCCAAAAGCACTAATTCACCCTCTCCTCTTAGTGCCAACTTAATCCTAGTAGCCACTGCCTGACCTAATTGTAGGTCACTAAATAGGTCATCTAATAGGCCTAACTCAACCTTGATTAAGACCCAATGGGCTCCTAATCAAGTTGGCATGGTTACACCTAAAACCAACTCAATTAAAACCTAAACTATCTAGATACAACTGATTACAAACATGAATCTTATATTGTCCGACATATCATTGGTTCATCCAGTGCTTCGTCCGAACCTTCGGTGTATCGCCCTCTCCTTCAACATATTGCCTGATCTATTGACATATTGACATTTTGCAATATCTGATCCTTCTAGCCCAATGCTCGAACTCATGACATGAAGTCTATCTTCTGACATGTGATCAATCATTTGATCCAACGTCCAATCTTATAACATGATGCTCTCCAGCCCAACGTATGATTCTCTTGCTTTAATCGATTTGTCTTTCAATAATTGAAGTTAGTCCCATGTTACTCAAATGCTTATTAAATCATTACATCATCAAAATCTGAGATTCAATAAAGGATCAGCTATTTGTTGTCACCAAGGAGATGTCGTTGGATAGTGAGAAAGGAAGACAAATCTTTTTCTAAAATAATAGATGCTCTGATACCATAATAAATTAAAATTTAATGATAAATTACACATGAATTAATTAAATACAATGTCTATTTATACATATTAGAAGAATTTTTTTTCATAACTTATTAATAAGATTTCTTCGTATAGTTAGAGAAATCTTATCTACTATCAATCACCCCGTTTCCTTTCATCCTTAGTCCGCATACCTTTCGGACTAGTTGTACCTACCGTTTCTTTTTTGGGGTCAATATCAGCAATGCAGTTCATCCAACGATAAACCTAATTTGAATTATAGAGCTATGACACAATCAAACCCGAATGAACAAAATGTTGAGCTATGACACAATCATTTTTTTTTTGGGTTTATTACTCATTTTTGTACTTATTGTTTTATTTTCTAATTTTTAATTATTTTTTCAATTGAAAGAAAGAAAGAAAGAAAGAGAATAGTAGGAATTCTCTTATCCCATTCGGAAAGATACCATCCTCATAATTATCCATGACTGTTTTTGTAAGACAGATGACATAAACCTTTCCTTTCATCCTTAGTCCGCATACCTTTCAAAACAGATGACATAATAAAAAGGTTGGCCTGTAAGGTACTCAGGAGGTCCGCTTGTCCTACATCTAGGTCATAAGGGCATTCATCGATTCTAAGCCACATTAGAAGTAGATATATGTTTACTATACAAGACTTTCATCGAGGCCCCAACAGCCTCAAATGTCTCCTCGTTTAGAAGCACGAGGATCACCCTCTCTACTAAGCAAAAGGGACTACTGTAATATCAGATCCTGCCTCTAACCTTTCACCGGTAGCCGTGGGGCAAATGGGGGCAGGCACCATCAAAATCCTAGAAGATAATATATATATATATATAATTAATATTTGTTTAATAATAATAATAATAATAATAAATACTAATAATAATAATAATAATAATAATAATAATAATAATAATAATAATAATAATAATAAAGGGACAGATTTTTTTCGTTAAAGTGTTTTTGAATGAATTTAAGATGTTTCTTTGTTACATGCAATTAGCCAAAATATTGCAAGTCTTTTCTTAAATTTTAAAACACCCAAAAAGGGACAAAAAAAGGGAGATTAAAATGAGAAGCGGCTGCTAGGACGGGGGACGGAGCGTGTAGGACCTAATAAGAAGCCACAGGAAATTGAAGGCAATAGAAGCGTGAAGACGCTCGAAAGCTAGGGTTCGGGCGAGGGCAGGGCAGGTGGCGGAGAAGAGGTTCGGCGACGATCAGCGATGGAGGGCGCCCTGGCCACCGCGGCCGCCATCACGGACCAGCGGCAGAAGATCGAACACTACAGGCTCATTCTCGCCTCCGTTCTCTCATCCTCCCCCGTCGACACCTCCCTTGCCAAGCGTTTCATCGATCACAGTGCTCGCTCCCTCCCTCTAATCCTTCGTAGATTAGGGCTTCTCCTTTCCGCCCTTGTCTGTAGTTCTTGATCGGTTTCTTGGCTGTTTTTGGTTGTGTTTAGTGGTGTCGGACGAGGTTCCACTGGTGGTCTCGAGGCAGTTGCTTCAGTCCTTCGCGCAGGATCTGGGAAGGCTGGAGGCGGACGTCCAGAAGGAGATCGCTCACTATGCTTTAACTCAGATCCAACCCAGAGTCGTGTCCTTTGAGGAACAAGTATGGCTTCTAAGTGGAAAGGGATGATCCTGTAGCAATTAGAACATCGACTTCGTTTTAATCCGACCCTTCTCTTATACTGAATATATGATTGTTGACTTGGGAGTTATCTAGTGATTCTAGGGCAGTGCTGCTTATCGATCTAGTTTCAATAGCTTCATTTTTACTTAATATGTATCAGAACAAGTAATTGTTGTTAGTTTAGTTGGTTCTTTGACATAAACACTGTCACTCACAAGTGAGCAATGGAATTGAGTGCTTAGATACGCTATCTGTTTTAGAATACTTCTCTGACCATATCTGTCGGCATAGTGCTGTTAAATCCCAGGACTATAGTATTGAGTATAGAGCAAATGCATTGGAAACAAAACCTTGGTCTATGATGAACTAAAATGTCAACAAGGTATTGGATTTCTCCTTTATACTTCTCTTTTTCCCAGATAAGAGCTTGATCAGTAGCTGTGTTACAGGGTGATGGTTATGGTTTCTATAGTCTCCATGATTTGGAACATTTCAATAAAATTACTGGACACCTTGTGACACATTTCAATGATTTGGAGCATTTTATATATAATCTTTTCTAGTGTTACCTCTATCAATGTTGTATGATCTCTTCGTTAATTAAATTGTTACTATGTTAATATTGGCTAAGTTACTTCTTCAAATTCGTTTGGAAAGAGGATGAGAAGCAGTGATATCATGCTTAATCTGATGTATGGTAAGTGTAGATTTTTCCCTTTGAAGTGATAGATTCTCTAGGAGTTTTTAAGTTCTTTTGTTTGTTATATTTAGTGGTGTTAGTCTGTTAGATGATCAGACATGAGAATATTTTATGAATGAGTATACAAACATCCAATTTCATGAGGAGTCGATGGAGGTACAGAGACACTGCATTATGCAAGAAGTAAAATCGAGAAAAAATGATATTGTAATAGTGATATTGTATGAGAGGGAAATCCTAGAAGTTACAGTCATGATAACCCTTATAATGATTAAAAAGACCCAACATCTTATATTGTTAGAGTGTTTCATGATTGAATAGTATAATTCAAGGTATGCAATTTTGTATCGTACTGGAGTTTTGATGTTCGCTCGGTACGATACAAAATTGTATACCGTTCGGTATATATATATATATATATATATAATATTATAAAGGCGATGTCGCCTTTTCCTTCTCCCATGTGGGGCGACGTCATCGAGGCGACACGACGTTGCCTCGTTTATATATATATATATATATATATATATATATAATATTTATATATAAAATATTTTTATAAAAGGCGACGTCGCCTTTTCCTTCTCCCATGCGGGGCGACGTTGCCGAGGCGACGCGACGTCGCCTCATTTATATATTTATATATATATATGATTATATATATTTATATATAAATATTCTTTATATATAAGGCGACGTCGCCAAAAAAAGCGACGTCGTGTCGCCTGTTATAAAATATTTATATATATTAATATATATATATATATATATATATATATATATATATATATATATATATATATATATATAATTTTTTATATTCATTTCGCTCGGTAACGGGCGGTCTGTGTACCGGTAAGCTGACGGACCGGTATGTATCACCCATACTGGGCGGTATTATTCAAAATTGCATACCTTGGTATAATTAAGGAGTATAATAGGTGGCCAGACTCATGGAAGCACAATATGCATCAAACACTTATGGATATGGACATGAGAGTTCATGTGATGTTGTAATTGACTGCGTGATCCTTGTGATTGCTTTATTTAGTAATTCCATTGGTTCCATGCATAATTTTTAATCTCCCAGCTATGTTGGAGTTATTGTTCATTCTATTTGGGCACTATGCTTTAAGGTTTGTCTTGTACCTTGATAAATATTAAAATTGCCCTTTGAATGTTCTGTTGGCATGTGGCTTATAATTTTATACTTATCTTTTCTAATTAAATCAAATCATAAAGCCATTTAGATCATATCTTTGTCCAGATTTTTCCATCCTATGCTTGTCTGTATCAAGAATAGTTTAGAAGATTCTCCTCTGTTCTCTTCACGATGTTGTAACCCATAAAATATGAAATTGTTTCCATACTAGCTTCAAATATCTCTTTTGCAATCTAATTGTTCAATATGTGTGCTCTATTGTCAATTAACTTTTGCATCATATCCTTGCACATTTTTACGCCAGATGGACATCTTGATATGTATGTACTATAGTATTTCTTGTGATAATCCTTAATAGATTGCATTTTGAGATGTCTATATGTGTGTGCACATTTGCCATGGCCTCTCTGAAACCCTAAGTTTTTTCTCCCCTTTTAATACTATTAGGTGCTAATTATCAGAGAGAAACTGGCTGAACTCTATGAATCCGAGCAACAATGGTCAAAAGCAGCACAAATGCTGAGTGGGATCGATTTGGACTCTGGTGTTAGGTAAACTATCTTTGAAAGTGTGCTATTTGTCTGACAAGTCGACTCATGAAGCCTCATCTTTCTATTTGTAATTTCCTTATCAGGATTCTTGATGATATGTATAAACTCTCTAAGTGTGTCCAAATTGCACGCCTCTATCTTGAGGTTTGTTAGTACCAATTCTTATAATGATTTTAACTGAATATTGTCACATTTTGCATCCTATGCTTTATGTGAATTTTTTTCTGCAATTTTTAGGATGATGATGCTGTTAATGCAGAGGCCTTTATCAATAAAGCTTCTTTCCTAGTCAGCAATAGTCAGCAAGAAGTGCTAAATTTGCAATACAAGGTAAAGATAATTTCCCAGAGGCAGTTAGGCTATATGTTGACCAATTGCCAGTTATATTGGACACCTTTCTAAGCCTTTTGATACTTTTTGGAAGGTTTGTTATGCTAGGATATTGGATTTGAAGCGTAAGTTCCTCGAAGCTGCACTTCGTTATTATGATATTTCTCAGATTGAGAAACGTCAAATTGGAGATGAGTAAGTTTAGTTTGTATCGTTTGTAGGTTTAAATTTGGGACTAAGAATCTATCTTATTGTCGAGATAGTGGTACAAGTTTTTCTCTGCACTGCTTTGAATATAATATTTTATATATTTCTCTAATTTGGGTTCTTGTTGTTATTGCTGTCTTGTTTAGATTGAGATTTCCATATTTCTCATTATATTATCTTTAGCAAGGGCTGTCGTGCCATGCCAACCAGTGGTATTGATCCCTAGGTGGACCGGTATGTATCGACTATGTACCAGTTTTCGGAAAAGGCTGGAAATTAGAAAAAAAATCATTTTTTTGGGATTTTTTTCCTAATCTATTGGTATATAAATTGTATTTAGATAAGAATAATGTGTATCTAAGGCATAAATGAATAGGTTATAAGGAGGAGAAGTTGAATTTATCTTTTTGGATCGGTCAAGAGGAAGTTGCTTCCATCTTGAATCAGCTGGTTAGGAACTTTAATCACACGAGTGTGAGAATGAGAGAGTGAGAGAGAGAACAAGAGAGAAGAAGGGGAGGAGAGGGAGGGGAGGGGGGAGGGGGGGGGTGTGGTGTGTTGTTGT